GCATCAGGGCCGATGGAAGGAAGCGGAGGAGCTGCAGCTACAGGTGATGGAGGTGCACAAGCAAGTACTGGGACCAGAGCATCCATCCACTCTGGGCAGCATGCACAACCTGGCATTAACATGGAAACTACTAGGAAAGGTTCAAGATGCCTTAGCTCTAATGGAAAAGTGTGTAGGGCTCCGCCGCACCTTGTTAGGTCCAAATCACCCATATGCCATATCCTCCTCTAACGTTCTTAGAGAGTGGGAAAGAGAATTGAATTCCCTATCAAAGAAGCCAACACAGCAAACTTCAGCTGCAACCTCTCCAGCCTTGCCTATCCACAATAATCCTCCGAACCAGATAAAATCAGATTCCAAACCTGTCACAGGCGGTAAAAGATGGGAATTAAAAAGGGTTTCGGGAGAAAATGATCTACGTTAAGCCTTTTACTGCGGCTAGATTATACATGTACTTAAACTGGTTTATGTACTAACCAGGCCTCCAAATAATTATAATCACGTGTACCTCTGGCGCTGACAATGTTGGATGGTTATATAACAAAAAAAACTTCTTTTCCATTTTTCAAATATCTTTCCAAAAAAGGAGAGTCTGGGATAGATGATGCTTATATAGGAAAGGTATTTGTAATAGTAGGGAAGAGCCACTTTCTATTGGATTCTTTACGGTTGGTATGGAGGCGTATTGGAGTGTTATATGACGTCAGGTCAAGAGGGCGAACGATTCCACTGCTGGTTTTCTCCTTGTAATGGTCTTACCAATTAATGTTAGATTGCGGGACTCTAATCTTGGCAGTGGGGCTTTAAGAAAAGGGAAGAGTGATTTGGGCGGAAGGCAATATCGAATTTTCACTGTAGAGTTTTGTTCGTTTGTCCAGATCTTCTGTCAATTGTTTGCACTTGCAGATGATCCAGACCGATTCGTCAACCACGTCCTTTCTTTCAGTGACAGTCAAAAGCTTGTCGGCTCTGTTCACACGGTTTTTAAATCTTTCCAGGAAACTTGGGTCATCACTGACAGACCAGAATGATAAAGGAGCTGGAAAGGATTTGATATCTTCGTCCTCTGTAGTCAAACCCCAGAAGTCGGTACCAGCTTTGACTATCCGACGGCGAATAAAACGCCCCCCGTTGAATAAAGCAGAGTACAGGACCCAGACGTGCGCGAGCAGTTTGTGCGGATTCTCCCTTATACAACTTTTAATGTCGTCCTTTATTCGCATGATTTGCAGCTCATTGATAACCAGGCGGGCAATGTCGGGATTGGTGGAATAAAGCCTACTAATATCTGCTTTAAGCCGCTCGGTCCGATGAAGATAGTCCATGTTAAGAAGCGTGGATAGCTTGGAGATTCTCTCTTCATAGGAGGGACTACTTGAGCTGCAGGGATATTCGGCTACCCAAGACCCAGTATTCTCCAACTCCTGCCATACTTCTTCGAAGCCGAAGTACATCACTGCGTAGTACGAAAATCCTATTGTATAGAGGGAGAGAGACTTTTTCTCTCCCATTAAGCATTGGACTATGCGGGCAGAATTAATTCGGTTCACCTCCATGTGCGGCACCCTAGTATGATCAGCTACTATGATTCATTGATGTGCGGTGGGTTGCTTTTAGTCTCATGACAATCAAGTACTCACCGAATTGCCTCTTTGATCATCGCAGTTACTTCAGCCATTGCAATAGTTGATGGTTAATCTGACAGGCTGTACGCTGTAGCGAAAGAAAATTCTGGGAAATAAATTCGGCCGGTATTAATGTAAGTGCAGAAGTAAATGTAGGTTGTGACACTTAGGTTTGCTTTGCAAGCTCTTATACCGAGACAAGACCAAGTCTCCTGAAGTATATTCTCCAAAACAGTTGACAAAATGCTTCCTAGACCAGGGGTAGGTGATGGCCCTAGAGAAGACGAGGCTGATCTGTTGAACGTGTTCATTATCTTTCCCTTCGTCATGATTTTTACTGCATTTATTACAACTCAACTAGAGGGCAAAATTCTTTCATGAATATTCAATTGTTTCTCCTCTTTAAACAACATGACCTAGCTAAGTACTTTTGGGTAGGATAGTTCAAGGAGGACATGATTAGTTAGTAGGTACTACTTGTTGAACACTGTACAACATCCCTGAATGAACAAATGTTTATGCTTTTTTATACTAAATTTATTTATTTTATTTTGTTTTCTCTTTTCATTTTTTAATTTACTTTTTTTTCTTCAGAAAAAGAAAAGTAAAAAGAAGATAGCTCTCCCCCACTTCACTCAACCCCACTGGCTAGGGAGCAGAAGTAGCGCAGAACTTAAGTTACCATTTACCATGAATTTTGTGAAACAAGTGAGAAGGAAGAGATGATAATGCTGCAGTAGAAGAAGCTGTTCAACTACTTAGTCAAATAAGTTTCCATCACTTCAATTACCTTTTTAATAATTAGACCAATCCTACTACGGATTTGGACAATCTGGATATCGAGATTATCCGCAGGCCTGTGACCTACGTACCAAACTAGCATATATGTGATTCATTGACTAACAGTTATTTGGATACGCAGGAACTATAGAATATGGTACTATTGTAGATTGTTTCATACTACCATCTTAGTCGAATTTCCTACATTATCCAGGGAAGCTAGGGAGGCCACTATGTATCGTTACTGAGTTCGTAGGCGTTGAAGGGGTTGCTAGGCGCACCCCCATTCTTCTTCCATAATAACATACAGACCAAGCTTTGGACATTGAGAACACAGGCCACAACGCGTGGGCCAGTTAATGTTCAAAAAGCCGACGACTTAGTGCTTATGGGCTCTATAAGAGCATCTAATTATATTACTGGTTATGAACGCCTTCATATGCGTCCTAAGCACCCGGCGAAGCTTATGCCCCGTTGAGGGCATTTATTTAAATGGATTTGAGCTTCCATTGGCTTGCTTTCTTATGTCCCAAGGGCAATGTTAAGCAGTCTCAAGCTATAACAAGAGCCACCAAGGAAAATGCCATCTTCTACCGATTCAGAGCACGTTAGCCCTGGCCGATTGGGGTGCAGGTTGACATTTGAATTCTCAGGTACGTCGGTCGGAAATCGCTTCCTGAAGAGCTCAATGGGTGAACGCATGGCGTCTTTCTCCGAAGCTGATATTAGCCGTCGTGGGATTCCTTCTGTCGAGCTTGTCAACTTATATAGACACTGGGGAGAAGGAAACATCGGACTTATTATTACCGGTAATGTTATGATCAATTGTGCGCATCTTGTATCAGCAGGGGATACCATCATCCCCGTGGATGCACCGCTCGAGGGCCTGCGATTTGACAGGTTCAGTGATATTGCGTTAGAAGCAAAACGCCATGGATCCCTCGTCATCGCTCAACTATGTCACCCTGGTCGTCAGACACCGTTACATCTGCAACCGTTTCCAATTAGTGCAAGTGACGTAGGGATTCAAGGGGGGAATTTTGGGACCGATTTCGGTAAATCTCGGCCTGCAACGAAGGAAGATATCGAGCATATTGTTAAGGGGTTCGCCCATGCCGCTGCGTATGCAGAAAGCGCTGGGTTCGACGGCATCCAGTTGCAATCAGCTCATGGACACCTACTAAGCCAATTCCTGTCACCCAGAACCAACAAGCGACAAGATTCTTATGGAGACAACATGAAGAATAGAATGCGACTGATCTCTGAAATTCGAGAGCCTATATCCGAACAAGTGGCAAAAGATTTTATCGTCGGTATTAAGGTTAACATTGTTGAATTCCAGGAGAGCGCCTTCGGATTTGAAGAGGCTGATCCACTGAGCATCGCACTTGAGCAAAAATGTTTTGATTTCGTTGAATTATCTGGTGGCACTTATGAGGATTGGACAATGCATCGCAAGCATATTGCTTCAATACAACAGAGTGAGGCGGTAAGTTGATACGATTAAACAAGTAGCAAAATTCCATGGGCAGCATATTGACACTGGCCTATAGATATTCCTCGAGATCGCAAAATTGTATTCAAGGAGGATGAATCACACAAGGATCTATGTTACCGGACGACTTCGCTCTATCAGAGGGATGGTACGTGCATTGGATAAAGTAGATGGTATAGGCCTAGCACGGCCCCTTTGCCAAGAGCCTCATCTGTGTTCACAGCTATTGACCGGAGGTGTAACATCAGCATCTGCCATTAAGATCGACATGAATGACTTTCATCATACTTCAGTCACAGCGCTTATCCAGGTGAAGCATATGGGGCGAGGCTTGCAGCCTATTGATTTAGGTTCCAAGAAAGATGTGGACAGGTTATACAAGGCAATAATAGAGCATGAAAGGACCAGGTTTAGGGTAAGCGCTCCAGTGCCCATCCTCCGAGGTGATGCTAAGCCTGTACTAGTACAACTTAAGTGACACACTCTTCCGGTAACACGGAGTTTCGTTCTAAGGAACGGACATCTACGCTTTCGAGTTTGTCCCATGGATTCCAAGATGCTCTTATAGCATTCCTCCAGAGGTTTTAAATCTAATAGAATCGGGAGACTTTCGAGTCAGTTTTCAATCCTGTATATCACACAGCACAAGTGGTGAAAAGGCTCTACCATTGAGATACCCCGCTGGTCCTAGCTGGGAATAGCATAAATAATCCTTCAGGGAATTACATTGCCCCCTTCAGGGGTCGGATCTGTATATCAGCTTTTAGGAAACAACCGCCAAAGGCCAAAGCAATGCCACACTGTATCTGCCGTCGCTTTCATCATATGCTGGTCAACTAAAAATCAAGATTATCTTGGCAATGATCAATTTGCGGGCATTCGCCTAACAGACGTTATAATTGAATTATGCGCTATCGGCTATATCGTTCCCTTCGGTCTTCTGCCTAGGGTCCTAAAGACCCGTTAGCAGCATTCGTATGAACAGCCCCGGATTAACATGCTGAGTGGTAGGTTTCATATACATCTATTACTCTAATTTCAATTTATCCTGGTTCCTCAGTTTCGCAAACAACCTCCCCCATTTTTCGCGCCTTGAAGAGAATACCTCCGGCTTAGAGATTCGTGAGGCCTTCCCCAAGGCTAAGGCCGTACGCGAGGGTAAAATAGTTCGCGTTGCTTCACTTGAGTGTGATTCTGATGTAGGTTGGGTCGTATCTGCATTGCCATTTGGACCCGTCCCTGAATCGAAATCGCACCTTATCGTGGTCGCTTCTGAGTTGATGGAGCCTGTCGAGTCCGCGGAGTTTCTCCTTTCGGGGATTTCTACTGATACTATTAGTTTACTTCTTAGACATGTGTCCTTCAAGTACATACCTAGAGTTCTTTTGTAGTGGACGAGAGGGTCGGTGGTTTCCAATGGGTAATCGTATCCGTCTACACAAAAGCTCTCATCGGCAAAGTCCACGGTTTGTTTAGGTTCCTGAACTGGACGAGAGTTTTGTTCTCCTATCTGCAACCTGCCATACAAATTTGCCAGTTCACTGGGTTCAGGGCAATGGCTAATAGGGTCAAACGTTGCGGTCTGTATAAATCCGCTCTCCCCTCTTGGGGATACCTTAGAGGCTCCACGAAAATCGGACTTCCCATGATTGTTAAGAGCTTCAGCCACTACTTAGCCGTGAGGAAATGTTCATTTTTGAGAATGAAAAAGGCTTACTCATCGTTTCTTGTCTCTGAAATCGTAGAGCTTTTTGGAGTGGACGGACTTGTTTCGGCTGGGGAAGAGGACGGAGGGCCTTTATATATCGTTCAGTGTCCGCCAGATCACTAGCGGCAGATTTAATCTCAGTTTTCCGACAATAAGCAAAGATTTATGTCTAACTTTTGTATTTTACTGTAACAGGGAGCTTTATGAATATCTTGCAACGCTAACCATGATAGGTAAGAATCACTACTCTCATTCCTCTCATTCCTCTCATCCTCGCACCGTAATGGCCATTGACATTACTTGTATACTCAGTTAATAATTGCGTACGACATGTGACTCCTTACTATAGTTTCCAGGCTTTTTAGGGGGTTGAATATAGAATTATAAAGCCACGCGGGGTTTGTGAAGCACATCCAGGTGTGTGTGGCCCCCTAATGGGTACTGTACTGAGCTTAAGTTCAGATGAGGTTTCCAAAAAAAAAAGTATTACTATTTGACGCTATGATGAGTACATATAAAAGAACTTAAAGAAACAAAACCTCCTTAGCACTCCGTATTTTCTACAATGTAGAGGCTTTAAGATGACGGCGAAGCCGCTAAACTTCGTTACAATCTAGCAAATAGTTATCGATCACAGTCCTGCACCTATACAAGGCCTAACATAATAAAGGCGGGTTAGTAAAGAGGTTCTCTAGCTAATAATGACCTCGACGGTTAACGCAGTGATTGATAAAGAAATTGCTGGCCATAGAATCTTGACCACACCCTCTATATCAACCGAGCACTGTGAATACTAAACTATTGGGATAGAACAGGTAGAATATGAACTCCACTAATATTTATTAATGTGAATCGCTATCGAAAAAAGATATAATATATACATCAGATATCTTATCTTCTGAAATAAGCCACTATTCACTGAAACACTATATCTCTAACTTTTCTATGGTTGGAACGCTTAGCTAGGGGTAAACATGAAACTCACCTCTGTCATACTTTCCTCTCTTATCACCTTTCGAACGGTCTTATCTGCAGATGAACGATTTACTGCATATGTAAGTAGAGCCACAGACGGTGAGCATTATGACTGAGCGCTGAGTCAGGACCAATACCCACCACCACTTACTATCCATGGTTGGGACTCCCCTGACTGTCAAGGAAGACGAGCCTACGCAATCTTTGACCATGTTAGTCTATCGAGAAATGTGTCAACATTATTCATTATACGCAGCTTTAAGCTCAGCCGTGCGCTTCGGGGTCAAGAACAACTCGACCTGTCTATTACACAAGACTACAACACATGGTACCCAAATAAGGACCAGCTTTCTAGAAACAGCTCATCTTGTTCTTCCATCGTGGCGAAATATTATTCCAATAATGGTAGCGCATCTTGCCACAATACGTTGAATTACACCTGCAGTCGATTGTGGCTCAATTCCGGTCTCTCATTGAATTAACTCAATAACTGGAACCTGGTGAGCTGCGCAATTTATGTTGCTACTCCTAGCTGTAGATACAAATGTTCTTTCCTTCTAAGCAGCATGGCCATGTACTGTCTACGGTTTTCAAAGTGGCCAGTGCTGGGCTCCCAATATTCAACAATCATGTATCTCTAAAAACGAAGAAACTTCGTAGACATTGTAATTTTCAAGCCTCAGTATAAGACACTAACCAAGAGCAATAATACGGCAAGCGCATATGCAAGCCAACAGCAGTATATTGAAAAGAGTGAAAGAACGTCAAAGGCGGCCACTCCAGTAATTCTCAATTGAGTTTAAATGCGCGTGTAGTTGACTACACACAGGGAATCCCGTAGCTTCCATGCCAGAAGGGGCCAAAACAGATTCCCGGTGAGGGATTGTAGCTGCATTCCTAGCGATTAACAGATAAATCTGATGATGCCGTGACAACACATTCAAGCATCTAAAGGGGCCATAACATACAAGCTAAATCAGAACACAAGATTAGGAGACAGTTAATTAACTGTGTTCACAATGCTCTGCACCAGACAAGAAAGCATGTGTAATGATCAGGGAAAGCCGGGCTAGTCGAATCAGCTGGCCTAGAGACTGGCCGCTTTTCGTTATGAGCAGTTGCTAGAATTTGTGAACCACTGAAGATATTAGACCAGACATTGCTCACCTTTTTCAAGTGTTCAACAGCCACTATTGATGTGGTCGCTGGGAGGAATTTGATGGGGTTAGAATCGCTAGGCCAACGTTCTACGTCAACAATCCCCCACTATGTCACCATCCTTGACATATTTTTGCATGAGCAACATAGTGATAGTGGTAAAAGTTGTGAGACATTGAGTTTGTACTTGAGTTAATCAATGCTTCACATAGTGCTCCAGAGCAGCTTTGAAAATGATTTAGTGCTGTCTGAGCAGCTTGATTATTGTATTGCGGTATGCAGACTCACCAATCTGGATGTGTCCATTCTGCTATCTTTCCCTGAGATCACAACATTATCAAACCCTGGCCCTGAAAGCTTGTTCACTAATTTACCCGATAACTTGCAGTTGGTACCACCAACACCAGCCAATAAGGATATGATTTTCAGCTGAGTAAGTTAATACATTAAGGTGATTGGGATCTGGAAATAATCTTTGTCTTGTGAGGGAGTGAATTGAAGTTTTGACCCCTACTGTAACTAAAGGCTGATGTCCCTTGCTATTCTCACTTTAAATAGGATAGTGGAGTTCGTTACTAAGGGATTTATGTAAAAGACATAGAAGAACCATGAGCGGCTTCATTCTGGTACCAATTCTGTATTTCTGGGGTTGGTTTCCTGCACTGAACTGAATTTCATGCTCCTCTGAATCCTAAGTACAACTATTCATCTTCATCCTTGTTTAACCAGGGAGTATAGGACCAAAAAGTGCGTGCAGAGTAGAGAGCAAACCACACTAGCCACATTAACTCCTTCATAGATGGATGGGTTTTTGTGATAAGAGGGTGCTATTTAACATCAGCTAGTTATCCTAAACAATACCTTGGCTGTGACATACCTTCCTGAGCTCATCAACTGAGTTAGCAGAAGTAGTAGTTGACAAGAAATCTAGCGCAGCGGAATCGGAAGACCAGTGCTTCAGGTTGTCCACGCCCACTACGCCCTCGTCTTTCACGTAACCCTGCATCAGTTCCATAGTCACGTTAGCGACAGAAGTAAGGTCGGCTCTTGATTCATGTGGGAGTCGTCTGCGGCAGCATTCTAGGCGTGCTAAGCAGTGTTAGCGATCTCTCGACAGGGAAGAGATTGACCACCGTCGATTTAATACCGATTTTAACCTGTCCCTCGATGCTCATCAGGATGCTAGAACATCTTAGAGAAGTATGTCTGATTCGTTTCGAGGATAGGTAAGAAAGGCCATCGAGGAACTGGTTCATTGGCCATGTTAGTTGTGTGTTAATTTGGAACGACGGAGGTTAAACTGACCTGTTCCATGATGGCGGCGAGCTGCCGCTCGTTGGGGAAGGCTTTGCATGCAACGATATGTTCAAGAGTGAGCGGGTAAAATTCGCTCACAGTGTAGAAGATACCATCGAAATGAAAGCACTCGACAGCAGAGAAGATCATTTCATGATGAAGAGAACGAAGAGCTTGTATTATGTTCTTGCTCTCTTTAGCTTCAAACTGGCGAATTGTCTGAATATCTGAAGGATTGGACCGACGGGTAACTATGGCCACACTGCCAGCTAGCTCACAATCAAAACGTTTCTTGAAGCTTTTCCAAGGATATAATTTATGCACTACAGGTAGGGATTGGTTTATGGATCTGCTAGGGTGGGGCGAAACCTCATTTGGGTGCTGCTGGTCTTGGGTGATGCTTTCATTTATCTGGGGTAATGGAGCTGGCGTATTCTCAGTCAAACGGCTAGTTGAAAATGAAGTTTTGTTCGCCAGGTGCTCTGTTTTGTTGGCCTGTACAGTTGATGAAGTGTTTATTACTGGGAGGGAACCAGGGGGCTTTCTTAAATCAAAGTTTCGGACATCAAGCTGAGTCAAGCGCTTTTCTCTCTCGGTCGACATGACAATATGAAAGGAAAACGGACACTTTCTGAATACACTAGGTTGAGATGAGCAGAAGGAGAATTATTAATTCTACGCCTGCGCCAACAGGCAGGTTTTAAATAGACCCGGTCGGTCTCCCTGAGGGAAAAGGACCCTCCCTTAGCAGTGGCCCTCAGCGGTCAGAGGGTTGGGTGGCTCAGTTCCTACAAATACAGCATTGGTCTCGCTTACCATATCCATCCAGTCTCCATGATTACCTCAAGAATTTTATCATATATACCTTTTTATGAATAGCTAGACTAAATGCAGCGGGCCTTGTTTACTGAGGAAGAAGTGCGGCTAGCCTCCGAGCGATGCCTAAAATATCAAGGGTCGGCCAAAGTCAGCATCGACGAAATTGAATTTGACCCACCATTGCCTCGAGATCTGGACTCGAAAAATTTAGACAGAATTTGCCAGATCTTTCGAAAGAACCACTGCCGTCGCCTTGACGTGGAGAACCGTATTCCTGTGATCGTATCTCGAAATGATCTCGCCGCGGCGCTCCAGCAAGCAAAGGTGACGGCCGGCGCTTTGATGACTAAGACTGCCGAGCGTTTTCCCAGTCTCCGATTCCCACCCGGTCAACTGCTGGGCCTGCATGGGCGACATCGTGCGCAGGCCGGCTCCACGGTGCTGGCGCCCATCGACCGATGGTGGGCCGTAGACCTATATTTTAACGGTTCGGTCGCTATCCTGTCCTAGCTCCCGAAACTCTGAAAACTGACTGTCGCTTCGGTACAGATATTAGTGAGGACCTTAGGACAACCTTAGTAGAAGAATATGCCAACCAAAAGACCCCAACTGACGGCGAAATATATCGCAAAATACGACAATATGAAGGAGAGCAGAACGAGCCTTTTCGAGAGCGGTGGTTTGTACGATTGTCAAAAAGCAACCAAGGCCGACTGGAACAACTCGACAACCGCAAAAATCGCCGGCTTCGCGGCGCTTTTGATAAATTGCTACGTATCCCAGGCGTTTGGCCCAACGGGATGAGAATCAGCATGCTACATCGTCTGATTGCTACTGACTGTGTAGAAGTAAGTAGACATCGGCATTTCCCTCTTTCCTACTCTCAGCCATTCTTTAATACACGTCTGACAAACGTGTAGGAGATGATTACCTATCTCGAACACGTCGACGAGTTCTGGTCCTCCCTCGTCGGCGCCGATACGGTCACCATGAAGAAGATCGATCAAGATACTGTGGATAATTTGCAGCTTTTGGCCCCTGGTAAGAGCCGCGCAGATAAGAGTACCGCATGTGGGCTTGTCCTAAGTGGTCGGGCGTTTTCGGACTTCAGTGAAGCAGAGCGAAGGTCTATCTGGAGCCGTCTGGAGGTCTTTGAAGGGCTGGTACCGTCGCTGTATACCTTTTTCGAGGATTTCAAATATCTAGAAAATTGCGCTCAGTGCGTCAAACGCCTCTTCGGCCCCGTAAACGAGTCTATATGGAACACCATGAAGCATATGTTCCACGGTTCCCCAGACATCGAGGAAGAGTGTCTCATTCAGACATCCGAGTGCACTGTGCGTCACCAGCGTGCAGGCAGTGCAGAACGCCTCGACCTAGGGTACCGACAGGTTTGGCTCTACGCCATGCGGAACTATACCTTGATGCCGCCCGACCCGAAGAACGACGACGACCTCTTGGCTAAACCTAATCGGGCCATGGCGGATGCCCGTACGATCTACGATCTGGCTGACCTCGCGCGCCGCCTTGGATTCCGTTCTCCAGAGATTGAGAGTATAGTGCAAGGGTCCCCTGACCGCCAGATCGCCCGGAATGCTCTGCTACAAGCCCGAAAACCCCATCACTTTCGATACGACCCTCGCGGGTTTGATGCTCTTGTTGACCGGATCACCGAGTGCTTCTCTGCCGCAATTCCTTGCGAGCCCGAGCGGAGCCCCGAGCTCTTGGCGGACAGCACGGTGAAAGCTCGAGCCCGATGCGGAACGCCCCAAAAGCGGACGCACAAGCAAGACAACTTACATCTCTTCATAGACTATCTTCATAACGATGAGGTTACAATTTCTCAAACGATTACCTCTTTTTTTGTCCGTCGTTGCGTCTATTTTGCCTTTTTTGGGAAACCTTGGTCCCATAACCGCCGTCATGCTATTCATGGTGGTGGCCCACGAAGAGATTCGCCTCCACCTTCCCCGTTGTTCGTCAGAGATGATAGCATTTCCCCAGGCCTAGATACCAGTATCACCGCGAGACCTGCAGAGACAGCGGGGCAACGTGGCTCAGGGCCACGAGAGGCACTGACAGGAAGAGGCCAACCGAACGTGCGGGAGCCACCGCACCAGGTGCAGACCCATGAGATGCTACGATGCCGAACAAGCAAAATGCAGAAACGAAGACCCCCGACACGATATGAGCCGCCAATGGAGCTGGACCGTCTGAGTGCAGGCTCCACTAACGACGAAATGACGGATGATGACCGCTCGAATCTGTTGATCACCGACGCACGTCTCTCAGAGTCACCATCATCGAGTGCAGCCGGTGATATGGTCCTTTGGGCGCCTCTGCCGGATCGTGGGTCTCCAGTGCATGATCGGGCTGAGCGAAAGGAGAGGACAGAGGTCGCCGCGTCACGGGAGCCATCTGATGAAGGCGTCTCGGAACAGGTCGCTCCTCTGGGGCCCGTCGCGCAAGACTCGGGCCTCATTGAGTTGACCGCCCCGGGCGTAGTTGCTCCTGATCAACCAACCGGAGAAGCAGAATCCGAGCAAAGCCCAAGTAGTTCGTGCCCCAAGCGACTACGCGGAGCTGCAAGTAGTGAAAATCTGGCTCCTACTTATCAGACCCCGGCAGAGGAAGTATCCGCGGAAAACCAGCGGGACCCGTATTGGGACGAATATGACGATAGGCATTTACGGGCTCGGGAGGAGCAGGACCGGCTGGAAGAACTCGAACGGGAGCTGCTGGAACACAAACTTGATCTCTCCCCAACTAGGCCCCAGCCAGCCCCGGAATCACTTTCGCAGGGTCATTCGTTGGCTCCAGAACCCCAGGCGCTAACATCACCAGTGTCGTCCAGTTACTCCCGATCGGACATTTACCAACTTGGGTTAGAGCAGGAACCACCAGGCTCTGTTGCTGGGGATCCACTAGAGACGGCGGCGGCCGTTCAAAACTCAGACCGAGGCATCCTGGAAGGACGCAGTTCTGCGGCACAACGAGAACGTCCCTTGACCCAACTTGATGCTGGAAAACTTGAACTCCCTGCAGTATCGGGCGCAACAAGCGCTCCCGGGATCCCGGAGGGCTCTGCTTCACCATCTCCGGCTGCGTCCGCCGGCCCGGCCCTTCCCACTGGGGCAACCGAGGAAAGGCCACCACTGACCACGCCGGTTGAAGTCTCATTTTGGTCCTTCGAGCGAGGGGATTGGCGGCTAACTAACGTTGTTCGCGTTGATCCATCGGACCCATCAACTGTGGAACGGGTTGCGATGAAGTACATGTGGAAGGGATATTCGTTGTATGACCTGAATATGCAGAGCGTGAGCCCGGCCGAATGCTTTCACGCTGCAACGGTCGATGGGAATAATAGGATCTTTGTGATATCAGAGGATGAGGAAAAGAAATTGGTGGCCCAGGGTCAACTTATCAAAGACAGGCGACTTTTATCTTCAAGGCTGCTGAATCGGGATCAATCAGCGACCGCAACACATACCAAGGTACATCATCCACGAAGGACAGAGTAGCGTTTCCTAGCCTTCCATTAGCGCCTGTGACTTGAAACAGGCATCTTAGGTATGCGCATGGCTTATGTGGCCGCTCTTGGGACCGTCTCGGACATATGCAGTAAATAGGCTCGTGTAAAAGCTTCTAAGTCTGGCTGCCACCCGAGAATCTCCTATTAGGCGAGTATTTGAAATGTTATTTTCTGAGTCATAGAAGGGTGTATTTAAGAATACCTTCATACAAAGACTTTTATGTGAATAAAATCAACATAAAAACCACATCCCAAGACTCCTGTGCTATGACAGATTTCCTTTTGAGAGGATCTTCACAAGAGGAAATAAGACATGAGACTCCTCGCTTAAAATATAATACAACATAAGACAATCAGGGCCATGTGAAACACTTCATAGATCCATCAGGCTCACAAGATTGCCAACATAGATGGAAGTTAGTCATAGGACATACTAGGATTGCTTTTGGGCCCAAAGCATACTCTGCCCTTTTCTTCTGCCCTGGAATACATTTGCTTACCATAAACAGACCAATACAGCAATCGGGATGTTTCAGATGCTAGTACACCGGCAGTCGATTATTGTACTCAGTTTAGGCTGGGACTAATTTTCGTGCTCTTGGACAGCAGAATCTACTACAGGCTCAGGGCTCCTATTGTATCTAGATACGAAATAGCTCCTACGAATAGAGCCACACACCCTATCTAATGCGTTGACAGCAGGTCCTTAAGCATGTTACATTTCATAGGTAGAATCGAACAAAGCCTTAGCTTGCCGGTCTTCTGCTTCAAGTCTACAAAGGAATGTTCCATAATAAGGACCCGACAGGTATACCTTCCAAATTCCGTCCATGGGCGTGCTCTCTTCCACGGCCCAATCCCACGAGCCCATCGATGGACATCCCCTTCCTCACAGGCATTCCATTATGTGTTGCGGAACGAGCTACAATCTGCTTACGGCTATCGATGGCCATATATCAGCAAGTCCAAGAGGGATTGACCGGCTGCCACATTGCTCTCTGAGTATCAAATTGTATAAGGCATGTCGAAATTCAACAGTCCTAACCCATGTCAACCTACGGATCGGAATTGAAATGGCGGACGATCATTTTCAGATGCCCTATCTGTGGAAGTTTCCTTAGTTGGTGTAGCGGGCTGAAGCCCGTTATAATACTCAGGCCGTTGGCCATAGTTACCTATTCGTCACGTGGTATATTTCGACCCCTCCTTCCTGTGATACCTTATTGTCCCATCATTTGTAGATTCTTTCTTCTTTCTTCATCAGCGTTTTCTTCTTGTTTGACAACTATGATAGTTTATCGAACGTTGCGGGTCTTATCCCTTACAGTTGGACTGACGAAAAAGGTGTGGATGACCAAAATCGGCTCTGTCATTGTGGTCTTCCGAGTCGGTTACCCCATACAAGTACTCAGAAACAGCCTCTAAGCACTGTCATCGGTTCCTACGGATCCCAAAAAAGGTGCAAGAAGTTATCAGCCTGCTAGCCGTAGCTGGACCACCAATCATCTCCACCCAGTTCACGCCCCGCTCCAACGATTTAGGCCTAATTCAGCAGTGGGATGCGTTTCACAGTGCTCTCAACCTGCATTGGGCTGGTACTCCAGCTCTGAAAGCTTTACCCCCTGGTGGAGGTGTTCCCGTACCGTCTCCCGTATATGGTCCCGAAGTTCATCGGTTGTGGAAACTTAACCGAGAAGGTTATCTTGTGATCTACTCGATAAATAGGAAACACTTACCCATCACCAGTGTTCGGCCCTGCTCGTCTCGGATGTTGGGCAATCTCTCAATCTGGTCTCCGGATGCCTCAAGCGAGATTACATTTCGATAATCTGGTATGCCCTGGTAAAGAAACACTCGTTTGTGCTGACCGAAGGGTACTTTGTTCTGCTCAAGGCCGCTCGAGACGTAAATGGAGATGTTGAGTATCTAAAACATGGCCACAGTTAGCTTCAGGGTGGGGCCGTCTCCTTGCGTGAAAACCAAATACGAACATAGCCTTCATCCATGATGTCGTCCTTCAAGAGATTGTTGAGCAGACCCTGAGCTGCAATGATCTCACCAATTGACTCTACCTGCCAGACCAAATGCAGCCGGCGAACCTGTGAGGTGCAGGTGTTATAGCCGTAGATCATTTTTTTCAAGTATGGAATTGCTGTGGCAATCCCAAATCCACTAGCGACCACCAAGGCGCTTTCGTATTGGTCAACATGCTCACTAATTCCATGAGGACCAGTAAAGAATGCTAAGAAAGAAACCGAGCTCTCTGCAGCCGAGGGAGCGTGGCGAAGAAGATCCGCGGTTAAGCCATGGCGTGGCTGCACGAGAAATTCCATGGTATCTTGTCTATCTCTAGACCACGATGTGACGGTGAAAGGGTGTGTCTGCATCCATGACCGTAGACTGACCGACGGCATCCAGAGGTTGATATATTGTCCAGCTTGCACCTTCACGGATCGAGGTAGGAAAATTCGAATCCGGATCGCTGTTGCAGCAGTACCTTCCTCCTCAGATTCCTTCACACTAAATGACACGACGGCTCTAGGACAGCCGCGGCCCGCTAGTAGCCCGTTGCGATACAAAAAGGTTATCAGTTGTAAGAAAGACGTGAGACTAGAAATGCCTAATGCAACGAGGAGGTAGATTCTAGGGGAACGTCGCTGAGCTAGATGTTGCCAGGTGCCATAGACGAAGAGCCCCGTAAGGATTTGATGGCTTCGGAGAAAGATCTCATATGACCACCGACGAAACCATCGTATCGCAAGCAGAGCAAGGACACCCAGCGAGGTAGCCCCCTGTAGAATATTAGCGCGAACGAAATGGCCCTGGCCCCAACGGTAAAGCATACAAGCACTGTAAAGAGATTTGGCAATTCACGGAACGGAAAAGTAAATTCCCGCGCCTGAACTGTTGCAACAATGTGGAACAACAGCATGGCTATAGCCACCCAGCCGGTGGCACGGTGAATTCTGCAACATGCCCGCCAAGTAATGCCTAGTAAGTCAGCGAGATAACTTAGGTGGATCGTAGATAAAGGGAAAATCAAGTTGATCAGGGCTAGCTCTCCTGCCCGACGGCCGGCATCAGTCAACGATTGCGTATGGAAGAAGACGAGAAAGATATTAACTGCAATATACGATATATGGAGAAAAAGGCTAGCTCGGGTCCAGGGACCCCAGAGCCGATGCCTATGAACAACAAAGGGGAGACTCAGATGCCGAGAATATAGCACAGAAAACAAATTTGACCAGCTGGCGATGATCGAGAGAGTTCGGGTCAGAAAAAGACCGACAAGGATACCGCCAGCGGTGATAGCATAAATAGCCAATGCATCCATGATGCGTGGTAAGGGGGCAAAAAGTAATAGGCCAAGACGGTCAAACAACAAAAAGTGAATTGTAGAGGGATAGCGTCCAAAGGAGAATGTTTATATGGTACAGAACAGCCACAAATGATGACCGTGCCCTGAACATAGGATGTTGCCTGGAAAAGAAGGCCATAGTTACTGCAGCAGCCCTCAGGTTCCAAGACAAAGACAGATAACTCTAGTTATGGGCATACTCCGGGTAGATCCTCAGTACTACCCTGAAGGGACGATGTATTCAGCCGCAGTCAGAAATACTGTCCAGATGGTATTGTCTATACTCTGGAAAGTACCTAATGTTGGGCTACATAATAAAGCATCCATGTGGAGGTTGCGGCTAAGCTTAGGAAGGGTGGTCAAAAAGTGAGGGTTCCTGGAAACACATCAAAAAGCCATGGTCGAAACGCCTAGACAAAGAGATCCACACCCACCCCACCAGGACCACACAGTATTCACCCTTTCAGCAATTCATTCTAATCCGCCTATTCCAAGTCCACTAGCAGCGATTCTCAATCCTACTATGCCAGTACTTTACATACTTATTATGGACGGCTGACATCTTGAAGTAGGTAGACTTGTATGGTGCCCCCTATGTGGTCTTTGAGCAGGGGCGCTAGAGAATGGCTGTTGGCCAGCCAGATTGCACCAGAAAACTATCTCATAGTTCCTGATCTCTCATGGCCAAGACAGGTTATTCTGGACCGCAGACTGACCACCTTTCTCCTTGCGCGACAATACTACAGTGGCAAGAATAAACCGATACTTAACGGGATGCTCTTCATAGGACTGTACGTACAGTAACTAATATACTCTATTCTTTACATAGAAGCAACTGGCGTTATTGAGAACTCCTACATGACGTCTTTTATAAGAGAACAACCGTTAAAAGTAATGTAATACCTGGACACATATGCATAAGTTAGAGGTGATGTACAAACGTTTACCTCCACATTGAGCGGAAAATGGTATTTTCCAGTAATGGAATTCTCTCAAGTAGTTGCGGAAAGTCGGCATCCCACAAAAGGATTTCAATGTTCCACGCCGCATAATCTAGTAGCATGTCTTGCATATTCTTCATATCTTCGCTCTCCTCGAATACAAAACTCAGCAATCTGATAATGTCTCCAGTTCGTTCTTCAAAAAGGGTAAAGCTGGCTAGTGAACGAGTAAGCCGATAGAGCGACAGAGCACACAATGAAACCCAGTCCGTTCTGTGGCCAAGGCGATAAACTTGGGCGTGGCTCAGAAAGACGTCCGCGTAACTAACAGCAGGGTCTGTGTTCGGAACTTCTACACCTTCGTGCACAATCTTCTGATCGAGTTGCTCTAGGATGAGAGCATAGGTATTGGGAAGCATTTTTGGATGAAAAACATTATTTGTAAGGTTCACAGGATTCCAACGTCCCACGGATCTCTGAGGTAATGCCTTACTGTTGCTGATTTGGTCGCCATTGCTCCCTGAGGGACTAGAAATCGGCCACGGGACGGAGTAACTGCCAGAATATACAAAGTCACAGCAACGGCCAAGACGATCTCATCGATTTCGTGGTTCAGGGGAGGCTGGAGTATCTCTTTCGGGAAAAGGCCGGCTAATGCCGCGTGAATTTGGAACCGCCTTCGGTCTTTGCCAATGACAAACTCAACGATCCCTGATTGCAGAATTCTGTGTCTGTCAGCTGTATGTTCTATAATTCTCTTAAAAATATCAGAAATTACGTATGACGCTCGAGCTCCATATTGGCAGGTAATAACCACCGATCTGAAAGGGTTTCAAGTGTAAAAATTCATATCCACGGTGTTCAGGCAAAGGATGGGTCAAGCATAAGAGGATGTCTTCCTGTTTATGGTGGTGACACGGCATGGGCTTAAATAGTTGTCTTATTGTGTCTAATTAATAACTGCGTAGTGATTATAACGAGTGATAATCTATCATTTTAAGCACCAAAGTTAAGTCCTATGATTCCGCAGCAGTAGTCCACAAACTTCTAGTAGTTATTCTTTTTGGCAAGCACCTTCCCTTTCATCTTGGCTGCCAAAGAGAAACAGTGTTCGGGCCTTGCGGCTCTCCCAGGCTTCCAGTCTTAATGGCTGCCTAACAGTGAATCAACTTTGTTCCATGGTCTGTTTGCCGCCTATTGCAGCAAAAATGAAAGGTAATACTTCAGCAATAGTGTTCAACTTTTAAAGCACTCCACACGAACATTTTTTCTTCTCTCAGCGCCAGGCGTCTCGTCCCAAATGGACATCAGCAGCATGGATCACCCATCCGATGAAATTATGAGGGATGTTTCAGAAAGGCATCCAAGTCCGACGCGTTCTTGCACACTCCTTCGTTCTACAGATAAATTTTGTCCCCAAAAAAGCAGCAAAGTGTGTCTCGGCGCTGAGTGGCTTCTTGCTAACAGTGTCTGAAGGGGCGTAGGTATGCCTGCACGAAGAGGTACTGGAATATCACTTCTAAAATGTATCCTAAGCTCTTTCCAATATTACCAAATCTTCATACTCGAGTTGATGGGCTGGACGGATTGGGACGATATCTCCGAACCCATCGAAGACATGATAAGCAAAACAGAAGACAACACTAGCAGTATGATGAACAATATTGAAAACTGCCGGGAAGGAAATTTCAAAATTCCCTCTCAGGCCAAAGAAGACTTTCTGAATGCTAGAGACTATGCTGACAATCTTCGTCGATATTCTCAAGGAGGTATGCGTTGAGCGGAAGGAGCGGATTGAATTAGATGAATCAGATGTATGGGATAATGTTGCTATGTTCAAGAAGCGTTGACAAAATGCGGCAGCTACAAACAAAGGGCATTACTTAGATCAGGACATTCACGACTGCAGACAGTGATATTAAGAACCAAATTCAGTAAGCATCAAAATGCTTACTACTGAGGTGTTAATAATTTAAAACTCCTTGGCACCAGTTCATCACATGCTTTTAATGGAGATAGTCTATGTGCGCCATGCAATCTTAGCAAGATGCTCTTAATTGATGTCAATATCTATACTAGAGAGCATGAACGAAGTGAAGTTGCAAAAGAGTCTTTTGGTTTCTCTTGCCATTGTTGTTGATTAGGATCTGATAATGACAAGCTTTTTCAAATGCTCATGTTATCCCCCAGTGCTCCTCAAACTGTCCCCTAAAACCCCCGTGAGGTCTACATTTTGAATTCCTCAAAAGTCTGTCAGCATCTGTAATGATAAGAACATCAGAGTTTAAGGATACCTGTTTAACTGTGAAGTAGGGTAGTCCGCTAGATTCCATGGTAGGACTGGTACAATGACGTAAAAAGTATGGGCCATCTAAGTTATTAGTTGTGATTAAGAACCTTATATTCCATATATACCCTCGCACTTATCAACATTTGGTGTTCAGCGGAAACGGGACGAGTCTACCTTGTATGTAAAACCAAGCCTGAAGAACTACAATAGAAAAGAACGATTTTTTTTCTTTCAGGTTACAACACTGAAGACAAGGGAGCACCAGCTATAACACTAGCCATGATAACAGTGTAATGTACATGAACGTGAGCTTCCACTTTACTGAATCAGGGCTGAAGTAGCATAGGTCTTACTGTATAAACCTAAGAACACTTCATGTTCTATATTCCTTGTAAGTGCAACATATAAGCCTGTAAATAACACACCTATCTACGTGCCACAGGTAAAACATATAGCTGGGGGGCATTTAAATTACTCACTGGTCCCAGAGAAGAGCACATAGCTGTTGATAAGATGATTGAAATTACAAAGCCGAGAAGAAGAAAACGGCGACACTCGATGGATAAGGGCCCATCTTTTCCACAGTAACATGAGGAGCTGTAATCCTTTCCAATTGCTCCGTTGTAAGAGCAGATCCGCCATCGCCCAAAAGAGTTTCTCACTGCACATGCCAAAAAGGTTAATGTTAAAAATAGTCATCAGCAGTGTCGGAGACCTGTCACCATGATCCTGTGCACTAAGCAGATGAGTATTTATCTCCTTCCAATCCCGTTCTATTCACAACAACGGTCATCAGCACAGCTGTCATCTCCTTGTCCTTTAGGTTTCCTCGTGTGTATAAAAATAACTCATCCGCTTTAGTATAGTGTACTCTACGACTATTCTGCTTAAATTGGCTGAAATTAATGGTCTAAGCCGCAGAACCCGGAAATGGCTCTGCGAAATTTGTTAATGCTCTTCCTGGCACTACCAACTTTCTCAATTGCCGCGACACTCTACGCCACCCATTACGACGGCAACGTCTACAGGCTCTCGCTTGAAGGCGAAGGTGATGATATTTCTCTCAAGCAGACTCAAGTGCTGCAGACATGCGGTAAAGCCCCGAGCTGGCTCACAGTCGACCCTGAACGTGGGCTCCTATGGTGCTCTGATGAGTCGTCGCCGGGGACTTTGACGTCGTTAGAGATTGGAAATGGGGGGGCTTTGAACGAGCTGGTGAAAATCGCTACTCCCAATGGCGGTGTCAATAGCATCATTTATCGTGGAGAGAATGATAAAAATTACTTAGCTATTGCGCATTAGTACGTTGCTTTCCTTTGTTCGCCCCATGCTGATGGTGCTTAGTTTGGTACTGATTAGGTATGTAGTGGCGACGCCTCAATCTCCACATGGGAGATCCCATTCAGGGATAAGCAAGAAGTGAGGCCCTATGAGGTGTTGAACTTTACCCTCAATAATCCTGGCAATGCCCCCCAGGACCAGTCTCGCCCGCATCAAGTTCTTCTCGACCCCACGGGATCATTCCTCGTGTCGCCTGATCTAGGGGCTGATTTAGTCCGTGTGTTTCTGATAGACAAACCGACGGGCAAACTAAATGCGTGTGACTCGATCGCTTACGAAGAAGGCAGCGGGCCGAGATTTGGAATTTTCATGGATTCGGCGAAGAATGCGCAAGAAAAAAAGACTACGTTTTACACAGTCGAAGAGCTAGGCAGCCGATTGTGCTCATTTGACGTGTCGTATGTAGAAGGAAGTTGCCCGAAATTCAAGGAACTGAGCTGTTTCGTTCCTTATCCTGGCTATAAGCTCCCCACGAACACGGCTACACTATCTGAAGTACAGGCGGGTAAACAGATTCTGCATGTTTCCGTGAGGAAGGATGGTCACTTTGATGGGAATGACTCTCTAGTGACGTTGAAACTTGCGTCGGATGGAACGATCGCTCGAGAAGTATCACTCATTTCATCAGGCGGCGTTATGCCTCGAGCGTTCGCGATTAATGGGAAAGGAGATTATGTCGCTGTAGCTAACCAGGAGACGTCGAATGTCGTAATCCTGAAGAGAAACCCAAGCACTGGGGAATTATTGAAGGAAGTAGCCTCTCTGCAAGTTGGACTGATGCCAGAGCCTGGTCAGTGGATGGGATTGAGCAGCATCCTGTGGTATGAGTAAAGTCGTTCGCAGGCGAGCTGCATGTAGCTACAGTACACTTGCCTATACTCTTATTTTGCAGTATGTACTTCAATACAGAAAACGAGCCTTTCCAACCACGCCTCTTGATATACGTTATCGAAATAAGCAGTATTGAATTAATAAGACAGCGCTAAGCTCCCTCAATATAGTATTGCAACTCAACAAACGTAAGGGAAATCAATTTCGCACCCAGTTAGCCAAGGCGATAACCCTAGACACAATACCGCATGCTGGAAGACAGTAATGTGAGAGGGTTTACCTCTCCAACACTTTATGTCGATGCACAATTATAACGTATTTTAAGCTTGGCTTTACTTCCTCTTTACAAGCTGTATTGTATGTACTATGGCTTCACTTCATCTTGTATTTCTGCCTCTCATTATGCACGCATCGAATTGGGCTGCGAAAAAAGCTTGAGGATCCTGCAAATGCCGTTCTCGCCTATTATGGATAGTTAAAATACTGAGACAAGTGCGGCCAGTGAATTAATCCTCACCTCAATAATGCTCCCTGTTATATAATTTTACGGGGCGGTATAGACGACTTTTTAGATACAATGATTTTGGAACGGTACTCAAATAAAATAGAGCAGTACAGAAGGAAAAATACCTCAAGAGCGCAGAAGATTTGCGCTCACTGCCACAATCAACGCCGTGTCCAATCGTTGATATCACACCGTGCGGCCACAAGTTTCCTAGGCGGCTCACTTCTCGCTAGTTGAGTTCCTCAGGCATCTGTTTATGGAAGATGGATATTCGCTAGAAAGAGTGCGGGCCAACTTAGACCAGTATTAAGCACCACGGCAGTGTGGGCTCTTGGATTTGGTAGTCCTCAATCGCACAGCGCGGTGCCAGTAGTGAACCGACTAGGCTAAAGGGTTCGTGTAAACTTGGACATCATCACTATTAGATGCTTCTAAATTCTAAACTCCACGTTTCCGTCCAGCTTTAAGCATATATGTGTGAGATAGCGGTCTCAGGGCTTAACGATATCAGACAATTTGTCTCGTTTGCCAATATGTTTGGACTGATAGCCATTAGTGGCTCTACACGTCTGCAGCACAATGCTGTTGCTTTTGGTCATCACATTTAGAATTATATTGTTTAGGTCGAAGGCCATCCTATAAATGATCTTCTTGGGAATATCTAAATTCCAGGACAGTTATTCCTAGGTCTAACCTTACCCTAGGTGTTGTTCTGTCCTGGGAATATCTAGATTCCAGGACAGTTGTTCCTAGGTCTAACCTCATCCTGAGTGTCATTTAGTCCTGGGAATATTCAGATACCATGTGTAGATTCCTGGCACCTAAAGTAACACTCTTTGGCTTTTGCCAACAAACGGAAAGCGGAACAGTCTCCAACAAAGTCTGGGGGTTCAAGGAAGAATATGTTCTGGCCATACTGAACAGAATTTGCAAACCCTTCTGGGGTCTTCGAACCCAGCTTTCCCATGTCTGGGCTCAGTTGAAGCAGTTTGCCCCTTTCCAGTAAACTGTTCCCAAGTTCAATCAGTCTTAGATTAATCGTTTTTAAATGCGCTGCTTCCAAACCAGAGCCTGGGGTAGGATATGGCGGAAGTGTTCTCCAATCCGCGTCCTCTTGCATCTGGATAATATAAATTTTTTCAGGAAAAATGCGCTTTTTTGTTTGTTCCGCTAAAGGCGGTTGTTTACGCTTTTGCCCGCTCACTGCTTTCTGCATTCCCTGCACAGCTGCAGCAGCCTTGTATGCTCCGGCGGCTTTATTGTAAGCTGATGTGAACTTTGCCGCAATATCATCAAATTCCTCCTCTGATCCTTTACATACAGATAATTCACGTGCTGCTTCTTTGAAAGACCTTAGAGCAAGGCAATATGCCTGCTTGGCAGTAGCGTGCTCACGTTGGAGCCTTTCAATAGGCGGTGTTATATCACCTAAAGCTGTTTTGGCTTTAGCCAGGGTTTCTTCCGCACGCCTGTTTTCCTTCCTGGCCTTCGCCTCGTACCACCGCATTGGCACTGCTTCCAACGCTAACTTGGCCTCTTTTTGATATCCTCTTGCATCAAGGGCATACCTATGAATTTGACTGAACGCCTGTATGGTTTCTTCGGGGAGATATCGGTTGACTTTGTGTTTGCGGAATGAATCCTCAGTCTCCTTTGCAGCATAGCTTGTTTTTTCAGCCAATTCAAAACACTTATCACATAAATCCATTCTTTCACAGGCAGTATTCTTCGACTCTTGCCACAGTTCTCTAATTCCATTTTCCACAGCTTCGCATGCATGTTTTCTTTGATCTTCTACTACTTCTTTGAAATCCAGGCACCGGGTTGTGAAATTCTTGGCCAGGGACGCTAGTACAGTGGCAACGCTTTTTGTCACATTTAGGGATATGTCCATGGCATTCCCTAACACTGGGTTTAGGGCTTTTCGAAATTCAATTTCATGGCAGATAGCATGTGTTTCAACTGCCGAATGTTTGGCTTGGTTCACTGTATTCCCTAGGTCTTCTGTCTCCAAGTTGGCTGTTGATGTTTTGGTCACTCTTTCTTGGATTTCTTGTACACTATCTTGAATTTCTTCAGCTCTTTTAATCAGATCCCGAACCCTTGAGTCCTCGTTTGTCACACGGGCGATCCCATTGTCTTCCTCCTGGATAAGTATCAGAATTCGCTCGGCTGATACCTTGGCAGCCGTCGCTTTCTCTACGGCCGCCTTAAATATCTTAGCCTTTGCTTGATAATCGTCTGCTGTTTCTTGGCATTGATTCCATATCTGTGGAAGCAATTCTGAATCTGGTAATGTGTTTCTAATAGATTCCACTTCTTCAGTAAATCTGCCATTGGGTTGGATCTTCCCCAAGGCCATAATAGCCTGTTGGTATTCGTTGCATGCACGGTTGTATTCTGTTTCGGCGTTGGCCTTCCACCAGCCCACCTGCATTCCCTTCTTGACCGACATCATGTACGTGTGGTTTTCGTTAACCTGTTTTAGGTACTGCCTTATACTCTCAATATATCCATTGATATTGTTGTCTTCCGCTTCATCACAAGAAACGAGGTCTCTCTCCAGGTGCCTTGCCATAAGCTTCACATAGTCCGCCACTTCCTTAGTTCTAGTAAATTCATCGAATATTGTGTGTGCGGCCTGAGACGCGCCCTCCCATCCTTTTTTATCGCCTATCTCTATTGCCTTCTCCGCCTGGACATTGTATTCGTCTAGGGTTACCATGTTTTGTGCATGCATAATGCTCTGTGACAGAACACAGAAGAATCCAAAAGCTTGATTCATAATTTTCGTATAAGCCACGGTTGCTCTTTTCCCTATGGCCTGAACCGGTTGACAGAATCTCTCCGGATGGCTAAGCTTCGTGTCCTCCGCCATGGACTGGGTTTCTCTTTCGATTTTAAGCTTTTCTTTATAGGCTTGATGCCCTTGCAACCGCATCGCCTTGACGCATAGTTTGGTCTGACGGGTACTATGGGGCTTCCAGGAAGCCTTTATTTTTTCTGCTTCGGTAACACGCTTTTCGATTGATTCTAGGCATAGGAAAGTGTTCTCCGATATGTCATCCCATAGGCTTTTGATACGGGTAGCTCTCGCAGTGGCGACTTGCGCTTGTTCAACAGCCATAGAGGCTTCTGCTGTCTTTAGGTTTACCTGATCTTGGAGTCCCTTGGATGCTTCCTTCACGTCCACTAATGTTTTCAACGCTGTTACAAGATCAGCGGCGCGTTTCAACTTATCTGATGCGTCCTGTACAGAGTCGGCGGCATCTCTGGCTGTGTCGCGGTCTTCTGCGTTGTCACACCGAGTGCTTTGCTGTTGGACTTGAGATAATTCACTCTTAACTTTCGTTAACAGACCATCTCCTATCTCCAGTAGCAGTCCATTGTTTAATGTCAGTATATCATCGAATCTTTTGTTCGCTCTCATTTTGAATTCGTTCGCATCTGCCTGTCTCTTGTTTATATCTTCTCTGATTGCTTTGCATTGCTCTATAATATCTAGCTGCTTTTCTAGAGTAAATGGCTCTTCGAAAGCTGATTGATAGTCTTGAAGTGTTTTCTTGAATCGGATAATAGAATCTTTCAAGTCTTGTTGTGAGGAACAGGCACAATCCAAGCTGTCTGTAAGGCTGGCAGTAAAGTCGTCAATAACCTTTTGACGGCCTTGATCTAAACCAGGAAAAACGAATTCCCAGCTATCATACAGATTGTTCTTGAAAGTATGGATACTTTCCTTGTAGTTTTGTAGCGCTGCGCTGCTTTCGGCGATTTCTTTTTCTAAAGCTTGAAGATTGTCTAGTTGCCCTTGGATTTGCCCCGCGACAGAGGAGGCATATGCAGTCTGTAGTGGTCTCTCGATAGAGAAGAAATCATCTTGGGCCCTTGTAAACTTAGTATTAGCCTGGTCCCTTTCGTTGCCTAAAGTCTTGATCCAAGTTTCCAGTCTTTTGCGACCTTCATCGTCAGGCAGTGATTGATGCATTTCCTTTTCCAGCTTTTTTAACTGTTCATTTAGAGTTCCAGTCACTGCTTCTAGGGTATTGCGAATATCCTTCAATTTTCCGTTGTTCGATTCCTCGGCAAGCAAGCCAGTCGGACTTATCTTTTCCAAAACTTTATTGAGGTTAACGGCTGTTCTCTCGAGTGCTTCCACCCGCTTCCGAAGCTCTATTGAATTGTTTATCAAGGACCCCACAAGGAAAACTAGAATTCGAAGATGAAAAGATCCTATTACTTGGCCAAGCTTATGTAGTTCAGCTTGTAATTTCCCTAAGAATTCATCTCGTTTGTTGTACCCGCTCAATGTAGAATTATAGATTCTGCGGGCACTCGAGATAATCTCAGAAACAAGCTCATTTTGCTCGTTTTGTATTGATCCATTCCCTTTTATCTTATTCAACAACTGTAGCTGAGCCTTGATAGTGGAGAGATCAAGGGAAATTTGGCATTGACTTTGAGCGAATTCCGAGTACCGGTCATCTACCTCAATTTTGACATAATCCAGTTTTTCTTTCCAAGAAGTGGGGAATTTTATTGGTGAAGAAGCCTCGTAACAAATGACTGTATTCAATTCATCTTGCTGCTCGCCTATGGCAAGCTCATAGCTTTGTATTTGGCTTGCCTGGCTTTCGATCCTTTCGTGTTGATCCTGGAGCTGTCTAATGAGGTGCTCCACTTCAGAAAGTGTCTCTTGTGTCATTGGAGAAACATTGTTAGGCTGTGTGGGAGATGTAGTGGCACGGTTGACATCATGCACGCCCGCCGAATCGATTGGAGAGGCTATAGGTGATGGCTGTCCGTCTAACGGCTCTTTAGAATCTGCATAGGATGTGTTTACTGGGACTGAAGCCTGTTCTGTCTGTTCTGTCTGTTCCGTCTGTTCCGTCTGTTCTGTCTGTTCTGTCTGTTCTGTCTGTTCTGTCTGTTCTGTCTGTTCTG